TAATTTCAGAAATTACTTAGTGCAGGACGTGGTGTTCAGTCTCTGGGACATGAATTTTTAGGGCCAGAACCGAAAATTCAATGAACATTGTAGTCGAAGGCAATCGACTACTGTGGTATAACCGCGTAATGCCCATCCTACAAGTAAGTAGTACTATGAGTAATAGGAAATTATTCACTTGTTTATTCTCTGGATTTCGTATTACCAGAAACCGCATAGAGAACGCTGGTGGGTCCAACTGAAGAGCCGAACCCCTCGCAGCTGTGCCACGCAGCGGCAGAATATCGGCGAAACACGTGTCTGGGCTTTTAGTTAGTACCCATATCGGGAGCATGGCACAATACGCTAGATATATAAAGATGGTAAGGTGAGCTTTGGGGATGACGATTTATTCATCTGACTTTTTGCACTCATACTCGAGCGCATTATCGGAGATAGGAAATATGAGAATTGTGGGGTTCAAATAGGTCGCTCTTGCTCACCCCTGGTAGGGTCATCAATTACTATCCTCATTGGGCCTCCCCTGGTGCGTAAGTGGTGTTTGGAGTCCCCAAGGGGCGCTATAATAAACCTATTCTATTCTATGGCGCCGGTATGTCGACGCTGCGGTCGATGGAGTTGGCCTCCGTTTGCCGGGCGATTATTTCTCTCACCAGTCCGCTTTCCGCTCGACCGAACACTTGGGCATGGCGACGTGTGAGCGTACATCTTTTTGCTCGACGGCTAAAGTGTGCTCACGCATGCGCGTTTTTAGTCGTTTGTTTGTCGTGCCGCAGTAGTTGGCCTGAGAGTCTAGGCATTTGACGCGGTAAATGACGCCTGACATGTCCTCAGGGGGCGGCCTACATTTAGGCTGCATGACTAATCGGCGGATTGTGACTTCCGTTCGGTGGCGAACGTCCACGCTGAGTGGTCTTAGCATGCGCTCAGTGGCCTCAGAGACGTTTCTCATGTAGGCCAAGGCACGGAGTACCTCAGGTTGTTGGTCCGGCTCACCGTCAGTTTTCCTGTGTCTTCGGAACAAGCATTTGTTTACGAAGCTACAAGAGCGTGCGTCCTTGTGGCATCTCTTCCATGTCAATAGATACCCACGTAGCTTCGTCTCTAACCACTGAGCCACAAGCTCGTTTTCCTGTCGGTGAACGCCCCTCCACCATTGTATATTCCCAATAAAAACCGACAGGATCACGAGCTTGTGGCTCAGCGGTTAGAGGCGTTGGACTCCTACCTAACAGGTCGCGAGTTCGAGTCTCAGGTTTTCCAGACCTCGGGGTTGGGTATGACTGGCTGACGACGGCTAATAAGCCAGAAATGGCCATTCCGCTCTCACTTGTCTTTGTTGGTAGTAACATTCTGCCTACATCATGCGCCCTGTGCGGCCGTTGGTTGGGCTCGAGAGAGAGCCCGAAGGGCAAAGCGGAACGAGTGGGTTCCGTAAGAACGATCGGTGACCGTCCCTCCACCATTATATATATTGCGGTTTCTATAGTAGTATTACCATCACTCTACGGACGGACAATTTTTTGACGCTTGCTCACGCCTACATCTTGTATATTGGAAAGATATCTACTGTCTTCCATTTGAATAGCGGCCTCGCCAGTTTAAATAATGGGTGGACGATTTGTGCCAGTGTTTTCGGCCGTCGACTTGCCGATTATTGTAAGAACGTCGCTGCATTTTGTCTGGACCCAACCATCTAGATTCTCTTACACTTTAATGCTGCAGGGTAAGGTGATACCATACTAACAGCACAGGTACTAGCCAAAAGCCCGTAGACAAGTATTTCGCCAATATTCTGCTTCGCGTAGCTGCGAGGGATTGGCTATGCAGCGGCAGAATATCGGCGAAACACTCGTCTACGGGCTTTTGGCTAGTACCTGTGCTGTTAGTATGGTATCACCTTAACCTACAGTATACTACTAGCTGCTAATTGACAGTTAATGAATATTACGCGGTTACCCGCTCTGGCTGATGGACTTCAGCTCAAATATTCATACATAAAATTCTCGATCTGAGCCTATAGACCTTGAATAAACTGATCTACTCCAAGTTCGTAGATAATTTCTGGGGAAATTAAAAAGCGACAACTATTATGCTGTCTTTTAATGGCAGACGCTAGAAAGGATAAATATCTAAACCCTTGACCATCTTTCGCAATAGGAATGTTTAGATTGTGAGTCAAAAGTCTTGTTAACCTAGTTAACGCAGAGGCAAGAAGTTAGCCCAGACGTCCTCTTTTCTACTTTCCACGCGTTCTACGACATTGCCATCCCTTAGTACATCGGATGGGTCATTGCTTTCAGCTAACTGTAGTTAAATAACTAAGCATCCCGAATCCTTCCTTACCTGACGGATCCGCCGTATCTAAAATTACTCGAGATGTTTTTGCGAACTGATGTCCCTTCCTTAACCGTCTGTTCAGATCTCTAACTGGCCAGGCAAGGAGATCAGTTGCTTTTGATTTCTTTATTGCGCAGCAGCACCGAATCTGATCTAGCAAGATTGTTTTGAACGACCTAAATTCTTGCTATAGATCGTCCTCAAGCTAGAGGTCACAGTTCAATGACGCTACCTTATTCCTAATGTCAGAATCTGCCATCCAAATACTTAGGTGACTATCCGTTCTCTGCCGGCAGTGAATTGGCGATCCCATATGAGCGGCTTTTGTCACTCCTCCCGAGAGGTGTATGAAAATACCAATCACCAACGTTAGAGAAGATTTTAGTAAACGGGCATTTGGCTCTCTGGTTCCCTCTAAATCTCACTGGTACCCATATATTCTGTACCATAGGAAGATCGCGTGCGCGAGATCTGTTAGCATGTAGTCGAAGATGTTGCGTGCGACACAAACTGCCAGATTACATCAGCCGAGTACAATTGCATTGTTATCTCGAGCCATAAAAACTTCTTTGTTTTCAATTACTTCCCTAAACAAATGCAACAGCGACTCGCCAAATGCACTCTGTTGACTTAGCGGTTTGTAAACCGTCATGAATACTAGGTCTTGTAAATTATGTCTTATTAGCCTCATTCGGACCTATTTGTATTCAAGATGAAATGTGCGCCAGTTCAACTGTCAAAATTATTGAGCTCACATATGGGACGACCTCGCTACTCTGTCACTTCTAACCGTCCCCTTGAATGTGTTAATATTGTTGTATCGAAATCTCGGAATTAACGATTCCGGCTTTGAGTTACGTTTCTGAAATGGAAACTATATCGGGAACTCGGTTGTAAGTTAGCGCATTGATCTACTTGCTTCTTGAAATGAGACTATGGGCACCAAAAAAGTTCATTCTGGCCCAAGGAGGTCTGCTATGCAAGGACGTGTCCATTTCGTGGGATTAAATGCAAAAGCTTGTCAGTGGAGATAAAGATGGAATATTGTTTATCCCGCATAAGCTGTGAGGATTGGAGGTTTTTGCTAGAGAAATAATCTTTGGACGAGTGTTATTTTCCGTTCTGAAGTTTCAGATCGTTCCCGCTCCAGCTTGATCTCGTGAGGAATTCCGCTTTGGGGTCTCACTATTTTCCCGATTTGTCGTCGAAAAAACTGACTAAAGATCTTTCGGGTAGGGACTCCGGAGGTTCCGTTTCCTGCATACCAATGACTACACCTGTCGCATAATTTATAAAACAAGTTTTGGCGTTCTAGTTTGGTCCGACCCATCTTTCCAGTCATATATTTGGCCCATTAAGAAGACATTTATGATTGTGGGGTTCTTGCCTATTTCTAAAAGAATTACAAAATATTTCTAGAATACTTTCGAACCATGATGTATTCGACACTTTTGGGTGTCGAAAGCAAACACAGGCATGTCCTTTATGATGATGCATCTGCGTTCTCTTCGAGAGCTTTACGATTTGGTCTTATATGCAGAGACTACATTAAGCATTCCTGTTTTCGTCACACCTTAACCTTCGGAGATTTGGTGTAACACAGTTAACGCAAGCTTCCGCGATAACGCATGTTTGTTGATTATTCGCAACCTTTAGCAGTGCAATATTTGCTTTAATTGTGCGCATACCCCGTTCCCTTTTACTCACGCACTTTGGCCTTTCGGGATGCGCGAAGACGTTTCTTTTCTCTATAAAATTCCAGATGGTTGTCAGTTTTTCACAAAAGAGACTGGTTTTTAGTTACCTTGGGCTCGGCAGACGCACTATCGTGCTTTTCAAAGGTTGGTTTTGGCTGAGAATGCCGTGTTTGCGTACGTTCATTCAATGCTTTGCCTTTCTTTTGTCGCCAAGTTCATGCCTTCGGATACAAGGCATAGGAGGTTTTAAGTTTTTCATTTCCATTCATGGGCCATTTATTAAATCCATGATTTCCGGAGTTTTTCAAATAAGTTAGAGACTTGTCTTACGGGTTGGGTTCTCATACTCGATATCGCGGCGACCTCATTCAAACCTACTGAAATCTCAGAGGTCGTGAGTGTGCCCATGGGTTTGATGGTCCTACAAATTGGCCTGGACCGAACGCCTGCGTTGTCATCATTTTAAACCGAGAAGGAAGATGGCCAATATTGTCGCCGACTGAACAGTTTCGCGGATAGGGCTGTCGGAGAATGGGACAGATTCCCTGACGCGGTGATCCTTACACAGGCTGTTGAAACATTTAAATGCGAACTAGAGACTTATTTGCTGGAAAACTGCTACACATATTGTCACGATTGTGTTGGTTGGTAGCCGGGTTCCCGTGAGTCGTAAGTGTGACGATGACGCTGCGTGCCGCGCTACTCGGGTGTCGATGTTCAAATCTGACTGGAAGTGGACATTTCGCATAATGCTTTAGGGACACAACCTCGATTTCCATTATTAATTGAAGAAGGTGGAACTTCTGCAAGGGTATCGAAGGAAATACTTAAGTAAATTGACAGAATTCAATGGAAGGCAGAATGACGACAGATCTTCGAGTTCGGGAATCTCGCAGCTCGGTTATCAGGGCAACGGTCAGAAGAAAGTCGGGTATTTTCGCCAACTTCCTGTTGTAACTTTGAAAGGGTAGAAATACTGCTAAGCCGGATCCAATTCTTAATATTGACAGGATGCACATTTGGCCAGCGGATCAAAGTCTCGGGGAAGAAAATTCTTCAACTGTCGAAAATTCGACATCATCATCATCATCATCATCATCATCATCATCATCATCATCATCATCATCATCATCATCATCATCATCATCATCATCATCATCATCATCATCGAAAGGCTCGGTCAGGAAATATACGATTTCCTGCTGGCAGTCCAGACTGTAGATATTGCCACATGCTGCCTTAAGGTGCGGATACAATTACCTGCGCTTAATCCAACCATCGAATCACACAGCTGTTCCAATAGGCTAGTTCATTTTGATGGTGTAAGCAGACTCGTGTATCTGGGTTGCCGTATATGATTGGGTGTTCGGTTATCTCTAAAATTACATGTGCAGTTGTCTGTTTTGTTGCACTGCCTTGGCCATTGCCGGTTAAATTTTCGGTTCAGTGTGGAGTTGTCACCACTTGTGGCTTCTTTTATCCGGAAATTTGTCGTTAGTATTCGATTTGTTTAAGCTCGCCATTTAGGTTATGCGCGTAGTTTGATCGTTCCCTAGAAAGTGCGTTCCCGCCCTGCTTTTATTGGTATTTTTTTGTATTTACCAACCATCCATTTTAACACAGAAGCCATTTCGACTATAAATTCTTACGTTCCGTCGTTATCATCAGTGCGCAAACTTTGATTCTGCACTTACCTCGAGAGCTTCACGTCCAGTGCCTTCGATGTTTCGCATTCACTCCGCTGTTGTATGCTATTTGCTCCCAACAGTGGGATGCGTTGTAAATTTTCTGGACTAAAACGGAGCCGCACTGTCGTGCGGCGCACATTCCTCAGATCACTCTGAGCCGGTTCGAGTTAATAACGTCTGCCGTAAATGTCTGCGGTGCCACGCCTTCCCTAGTACCCTGATAGCATTCTACTCGTCCAGGGCTGGCCCGGTCGCCCGATTACGGGCTAGTGTTGCAATTGACTATCTTTTTCAGCAGTCCTAGCGGACACTGTCCACACGGGGACTGTAGGTTGATGCGCCTTCTCCGGCGAGTTGAGGGCGTTGTAGGCCGAGGCGATTTAAGTCGCCAGGCAGGAGCCTAAATTCCGGACAAAGCGCGTGCATGCACCCTGCATGCGTGCGTACGCGCAAAGGGACCCCCAGGCGTGATGTGCGAGATGCACTCGGGTGAGCATCGATGAGGGGGTGTAGCAGAAAAGCTCCTTTCCTCGCAGAGATCGGGCACCGTCAGTCAGTCAGGTTACTAGCCCCGCACTAGCTCGCAAGTCAAACGGGCCTGCAAATGTCTCGCCCTGGGCGACTAAATGCTACCAGGGTAGCAAACTATATTGAGACGGTATCTAATAGATATCTGTTTGTCGAAACATGTACATCTTCTGGATGTCGATTTTGCCAGCAAAATTTGTTTATAGTGAATATCGACTTTTTCGACACATTCCGCAAGCGCCAAGAACGCGACGTAATACGTTACGCTTGAAATTGTTTACTTAATACAGCTTTCATTACTACCTCTAACCCTCTCCGCTTTATCTATATCGCTCTCTCTCTCTCTTCTCTGTAGCGCACTGCCGTGCGTTTCCTGCAGGTCACATTTAGTGAGTAACTCTCAGGACGTTTAATATGAAAAACTTGTACTAAAAATCTAACAAGGGGTGTATGTACAGTGGTTAAGTGCTGTCCGTCCGTCTAGGCTGTCCTTCAGCTTCCTGCCTTTGAAATTGCCATACATGCTAATTTCATCGTCGAATAATGTGAAGAAATTCGCACGACGAAGTCATCAACAGCATGTCTGCCAGAGCATGTTTGGAAGGTGCTCTACTGCTAGAGGTAATAAGTAATTGAGTGGCATCCCAACTGATTTTGGAAGTCGTTGTCTAGTAGTTGGGCCTTTAACTGGCGGGACTCGGCTGTCGAACGAAGCCCTTGGACTTCTGGATTCCTTGGCAGCTGGACATCTGCCTGGCCGGGAGTTGTCGGCCGCAAAAGAACCAGCGTCACCAACTGACTTTAATGTTCCAGCAGCCGGCGTTAGTCCTCCAACTGTTGGACATAATACTTCGTGCCGCGTCAGCTACCACCCAATCTCGTCATCCGCAGGTTGACGGGCTCGGAAAGTCTGCTGGTACCCGGGAGAGGAAGAAAGTGAGGTCGAAACCAAAGAATCCATCCTCACGAAAATTTAGAGCATTCCTCGCTATAGTTAATCCGACGCGCTAGAATCCATCATAACGTACTACCTTTTGTGGCTTGGAAGGCTGCCAACTGACGGGCTAACTCGTTATTTTTTAATAGTTGGAGCCGGAGATTCAGGCTGCAATGACTCCTGAGTGCGGCCTTTATGGCTCTCGGTCGTGAGATCCAAGCCGCCCTTATAGGAGCCAGGCATGTAGTAGGGACCTGGCGCTGCGGGGCACTTGCACGCGTTGTCTAGCTCTGTTGGACACCGCGTCCGCGCCTATATCTGATCATCATGACGTTATCTGGCCACCAGGGCAACGTGGGTGAGGGAAGAGTGTGTGGTGGATTCTTTGCAAGTCTGCCTTTCTGTAAACGAACTCATACATACGTCACCAGTGCTGCTCCCACTTTGTGAAAACGCGGCGAACATCGTCGCTGGCCTCTGTCCAATTTTCGTATGTTTCTATGCACTTTTGGAATTTGCATGCTGCTTGATTTCCCGGCGGTGTTTCGAAGTTCCTTTTCTGTTACGTGTTCTTCTGGGCTATTCCCATGTTTCATCCACTTTATGTCACAGACCACAGGGTTTGGACGGCCTACCTCTGGCTGGGCCTGATGATCGCTTAATGAAGTTTAACGCAATAAAGTACTCTTGATACTTATGGGTAACTTGATTATGTTAAATTTAAAACCGTTAAAAACAGCTGGCGGCACAGCTAGTTTAGTATATTACTGTCGGTCTCCGACTTCCGACCCTCTAAGCATCTAAACAAATTCTTGTCATGATCTACTTCTCGTGTTAAGCTTCTGCGTAAAATTTATCTTTTTCTACGAGGGCTCAACGCTGGTTTCGTGCTTTAGGAATTGTAACTTAACTAATTGCCAACGGCTTGGCCCTAGAATACCCGACCGATCATCATGTCGAAAAGTCTTGTGTTTCTTTTTTCTACTCAAAACCACCGCCCTTAACTGAGTTTGATGGGTGTATTATAGTAAGCAGTCCTCGGGACGTGGTGTTGATGGACGCCAATATCAGTGACCTGCAGGCAAGGCTAGAGGTGGCTGAGAGATTGCTGGCGGAACAACTCCCAAATGTCGCCCGTGAAGGTAGCTTACTTTTTTTTCTCCTCTGCTTGAAAAACTAACGTTATAGAATTTTGCCTTTTATAGTACTAGTGCTTGTAGTTTTTGGACTAAGGCAAAGTTTCCACATTTCTCTATTTTTAAACATAATAATCTTCTATTTTACGCAACGAATGTCTTTTTTAGCGTTGACTTAAGCACGTCAGAAGTCTGGTCATTGAAAACTTTCCATTTTAGGTTTTTGTTATGTCCTTATGTCGGCTTTCTGTTTGGTTTGGAAAAATTAATTTTCTAGTCAATCCCACCGCCTTTATGCCTTTCTGGGGCCGTACATTACATATGTACAAAGGAGTTGGTCATCGTCACAACTTCATAAATGTGGTTAGGTTCCCCAACATCTGGACCGCGACCTACTGTAACGCCGAGGATGACCAGCCGTAGAGTGCGCACTCCAGTAGAGATGGTTGGGAACTTGGCCCTAACGGATGCCGTATGTTACATAAAAAACACTCGTCATCTATGCGGAGTTCTACCCTTGTTTTGCGATGACGGGCTCAAATAAAGCGAAGTAATCTTGATGGCATGTCGTCATCCATCGTGATCTTCCAGACAGAATCCCGATAGACAAAATCCAACACAGTTTGTTATTTGCGAGCCAGATGAGTGTGGACTGTCGGTAGCGGTGCTGGTTCTCACGGGTTTACCGGAAGCAAAAATTTTGATTAACGTATCCCGTTTTCGGTCGGAAACCACACTAATTCCCCTGCGCATAGTGGCATAAGTGTAAGCGATGGAGGAGGGTGGCTGCAAGGGCTTTTGCGATTATTTCAACGAGACTTTTTAAGGGGTTGCGGAGTGATCTACTATCTTTCTTAAAAATTGGCGTAACTGCTTCGCTGGAGTCTGTAAGAGCGGTCTCTACGCCCTAAATTCTGGCCAGAAGCCCGTGTAACCCATCGAATAATGCTAGCATTTGTAGATTTACACTGGGAGGCAGCTCTCGACAGGTGCCTTGTCACATTTTGGTTCCGCTATAGACTCACGGATTTCCGTATACGGTAGATAACAGTTACAGTTTTACCCTGACTCCAGGGCGCATTTAAAGTTACAGTTATACTCTGACCCCAGGGCGCATTCAGAGCTCCATTTTCTGCGATGAAGCCCGCTTCACATTCTGCATCACTGCTGTTAGTAATTCGTAACTGCCCATTCTTCAGAATCGAAAGCTCGCTTACCTTGCAATACTTTTTCGTAGAAGGCCGTTTTGCCACTCGCCACCCTTGTATGCCGTCCTAGCTAGCAACTGGGTTAACAAATGAACCCTGTCTTCTCGGGATTCCCGCCCTTTGTTTTGTGAAGATAAAGAATCTGGAAATCCTTTCAAACCAACCGTTTACAAAGTTGACTTCCTTAGCGGAGTAGACAGCTTCATCCAACTCGGCTCAGCGGCGAATGCAAGCCTCATATTCGCTTTCCTCTATTTATTCGTAATCTCCTGACCGCCTACTTTGCTCTTCCAGTTGGATCTAGCCTAAGCAAACAGGACTTTATAATAGGCAGTCCTCATATCTGTAGAGAATATGCATCCAACAGAGGACATGTGACTTGAATGTCTGGTCAGTCGACTTGTTTTAGGGTTGTTATGTAATAGGTCTTGATCTGCTTGAAGACTGCCTCTTTACACAGTGTCTCGTTACGTTATGTGGTGGGATATTAAAACGGAGCATATCCTCAGCTCTGGTGGAAAGAGTTCAGACCTACACCACAGTATTAGGCAGCTACATACGCCAGAGGCGGGAAAGTCTGCTACAAGTTGTACAGCCTTCATTACAACCGTCACTACTATTGCTGTTGGCGAAATGTTTCACGCCAAGTCGGATAAACTATCAAGCTTGTCAATAATATCTGCGTTTTTCCGAACTATGCTGCCAATAAATGCTAGGTGCTGCTGCGTTACAAACCCACGTTTCGTCTGCCTAACAGTTTTCAGTCAGAATATATACCTCGACGAGCTTCTGCGACATTGAGCCCATTGTAGAAAGTGACCTATAGTTGGCAGATATCCCAAAAGCTAATGATTCCACTATCTAGCTAAGTGCCGTCCTATATTATGACTGCATATTTCTAGTGTTGGGCATCAAGACTTTTGCGCAATAACTCTTTTCAACCTTCACTTTATTAGTTTTTCTATGGTTGTTTATCTCGTCACAAACTTTTTTCGCTTTGCTCCCTATGAGTGCATTTTTCGGCTCGTGTAAGGATTTGACAGTTCTTACAGCGACTTCCAGCAGTCATCTATATCCCCCTCCCTCCCATTGTCTTCTTTTTCCTCCGCTTTAATTTCGCGTAGCGGTAGAGCATGCTAACGCCACCCTCGAGGCTGAACGCTTGCAGCTTCAGGAGGAGTTAGATCGCCGTCTAGCAGACTGCGGCACTACACATGCTCTCTCCATTGCTGAACT